ATCAAGATCAATGGCACTGAGCTCACATGGACAACAACCTTTAAGTACCTTGGATCGGCTATTGCGTCTGACGACAGCCTGGGTTTTTAAACGAATTCTCGCATGAATGCAGCGTGGTTGAAGTGGCGCTCAATGACTGGCGTACTTTTCGATAAGAACATCCCTGAGCGTCTCAAATCCAAGTTCTACAGAACCGTCATCAGGCCGGTCGCAATTTACGGCGCTGAATGCTGGCCTGCAACCAAAGAAGTTGAAGCCCGTCTCAGTGTGATGGAGACCAAAATGCAGCGCTGAACAGTCGGAGTAACACGCTTAGTAATGAAGCCATCAGGGAGCGATTCTTTGTAGCGATTCCCATTGTCGATAAAATGCGCGAAGCCCGTCTACGATGGTATTACCATACTCTTCGCGCAAGGAACGACAGTGACTGTAAGATCGGTTTCAGCCTTGACGTGTCCGGAAAGCGGCCTAGAGGACTTCCAAAGCAGCGGCGGCTCGATACACGAAGACCGCTGCACGAAGACCTTAAAGCGGTTAACATCCACCTCGATCAAGCGTTCAATCGGGATAAGTGCCGTCAACATATCAGAAAAGCGGACCCCGCCTACAAGCGGGACAAACGCCAAAGGATAAGAAGATAACAGTAAATAAATGGATAGTTCAGAATATAAGGGAGGTTGTTCAATACTGGATCAAATCCTATTATATGCTGAAGAATACTAGGGCTGACAGAAAATCGGGTTCGGCTAATCGAGACATCGTAGCACTGTTTTTGATTTTGGAACTAATCGATGCGAAATCTATATGATGCATCCATCTTTCAAATTCGGCATTTCCTCTTTCGAAGCTTTTGAACAAGCTGCGTCACGACATAGCCATACCCCTTACATTTGATCAACAATGAAGTTCTGGATTTCAATTTTTATGTAAAACGAGTGGGTTAGTAAAGTTAAGGCAAGTTTTTGCCTTCAATCTCGTCACGTTGTAACTATTTAAAAGATGTTCTATGTATGTTTAGTGGTCTAGATATTTTACCGAACATATGCCACTTCCCGAAAAACTTCATTTGCACTTCACTTCAATCATAGTGTCACTCCATCGAGAATGGTGTTTATGTGTCCCTTCGTAAACGTTCTGTGAAGGCGAGATCGCGGTAGAAAATCTCGAATTTGAATTTGGAGGTTATTTTCTATCTGCTATCGAAGCGAACAAGCGAACAACGGTGGAGTTGACTTGTTAGATTATCATTTACCAGACGGGTCGCCCTGCTAACGCTAGGCCTCATTCCTTTCTTTAGAGAAATAGTTAGAAAATGATGTAGTTACGGAGTAGGGAGGTGCTTCGCTTTCATTCAACAATACGGACTTCAGTGCTAAGAAGGATGTGTAGCGGACCTTAAAGCTAAGATAGGGTATGACTCGACCCGGTGCCCCTTCCCTCCACCAGCTCAGGACAAAAAAGTGTATGATTTCGGCTAAGAATTGCTCTCGAGCACAATTATGGGTTGACCTCCTTATCTCTAGCTCTCAATGTTGAAAAAAAGCGAAGTCTCTCGACTACATTATTACCTCCGATATTTGTGTAGACATCTATAGCACAATGCTAACACCACTAAGTTACTGCTTTACATATAAGATAGAAATGTGAAAGCTGGATTTTCCATATCACTACCTTTATCGCAATCATAAAATTTTGCGGACGGACAGACCGACAAACCGACGCACCGACAAACACTTAAACCGACAAACCGGCACATCAAGTTACTACTTTATAAATATCATTTATAGTCCCTAGTAATAGAAAGAGGGTCTTCCGGCTAACGAATTGGATCCCATTGGAACACAAGCGAGCCGAAAGGCCTAAATTGAGGTGGGCCGATCCAATGTTGAATATGCTCGGCCAACAATGGAAACGACGTGTGTAGGACCGGAACGGATGGCTCAAAGTCGACTTGCTTGAATGGAGAAGTTCGCGAAGACAACTCGGATATAGGTGATACGGGTGAAAAGAAAGAGGACGTGCGAGGAAAAGAGGCAATCGTTTTGTTATGTAATCGTTTTACCTCCAACAACGTCGAGTCTGCTACCCGTTTCTTTCTTCCGTGGAATTAAAGGAAGCGCCGCTTCTATTTCACCACGCTGGTTCGTCTCAAAACTCAAACTTTTCACCAATCCCCATTTTTCAGCAATCTCCGCCAGCGTAATCTGTATGGTCTTTCTGGTTTTGAAGGACCTGTGCATGTTCTGATCCTGGATTTAAAATTTATCTCATCAGTATCACTTGCAGTGATTATTATTACATCAACCCAGCTTGAAGAAGTAGTTGGAGATAAGATTATTTTAGCAAATCAGTGCTAAAACGAAACATTTCGTCAAGGGAGTCTATATTTAGTGCTTGGAAAAAGCGGCCTTGAAGAGCAATAATGAGTAGAATTATGCTTCGACGCTCTTCTCACGAACGCCTTCTTTAGAGTTGTTAAACATCATTCTAGAGGCGGCATGGTGTGGTTGGATAGTTCAATGCATGTAACATAGAGCAAAGCATTTGCATCTTGATTCCTTTTCTCATAGATCTTGTCATCAAGACAATTGTGTTTTGAATCTTTATTCATTCCATATTCCATCAGAAGCATCCTTTTCTTTTGCAAAAATTCTACTTTCATATTTTTCATAATCAATGTTGATCAAGTTTTTAGGAAGAAATGTACAGTTGGCAAAGTCTGCGCCGTAATAATTGAGACTTCTTATAATTATTCCTTTACTTTTACTCTTTTATAATTCTTGTCGTTTTGTGTACTTTTCGAAGCTCTTTGCTCTTCACTTTTATTGGTGAGCTTTCGGCATATAATGCCTTCGTCAGACCTTAATTACTTACAA